TTGCGCCACTTCATGTTGAAGTCAAGACCAGATACCATGAATGGAGGATGAATGGAGAAAGGAAGATTGAGGACAGAGTGAAAGGGACGGATAGGGTACTCTCTTGGATGCAAGGAATGTTGCTGGAAGAAGCGGAGGACGAAGGTATGGCTGAGGTGTACGTGGACGCTGGAGCGAACATGGTATACGAAAGAACGGGGTAGAACTCATTGCGATCGAGAAAGTGATAGGCATATAGAGTATGAACGATAGCGTGAGAGTGGTCAGCGATTCTGCCGTGGCTGTGGAGAGGATGAATGCGTTTAGATCAAAGAATAAAAGGGTAGTAACGATACGGAGAATGATTGAGGCAAGAAAAGAAAGGGGGGCACGGACCCAAATAGTATGGCGCAGGGGCCACCAGAGTAGTAACCATGGCAATCAGAAAGCCCATGAAGAGGCAACTCGAAGCCTCAACCTTGAAAACGTCACCTGGAACGTAAGAAGAATGGACAGTAAGAATGAGGAGAGAAAAAGGATGAAAAGGTGTATAAGGGAAGAATGGCAGAGGGAGTGGGAAGAAGGAACGAATGGGCGACTGTTATACAGGTACTGTAGAACAGTCTGATTTGAATCACTCAATCTGTCGAGGAAGGCTGTCCAATTGTTCACGGGGCATGGTAACTTCCCGGGTTACCTTGCCAGGTTCAAACTGGGACCTGAGGTACCATGCCCCTGTGGCTGGGGGAGCCTGAAACGGCAGAGCATGTGCTAGAGAGGTATATGGAGGGAGAGAAAATCGGATGGCGCGAATGGAAGGAACGACTTGAGCGAGAAAATGGAGAAATGCAGCTTAGGGGAATCAATGAGAAAAAAAAGGAATGGATTCGGGTAGCGAATGAATGGGCGGAGAGTGTGGTGAGGGATGAAAGGGAATAATGACGGACAAATTGCCACATATAAAACTGGGAGGAAAGGTGACGAGCGATACGCGCCCCAGTCCTGTTACTGGCCTGGCGGGTGAACCCCAACTTATGTATTAATTTGGAACGCCAGATAATATAATATATTGTGTGTCTATCATTGGTAGTGTTTGCAATGAGAACTTAATATTAGATAGTTAGATAGATATTGGTTAGTTAATAGTTATTGTATGAAAGAATGTAAACTTTAATTTTCTAGTAATTGAATGTAATAATATTCATGAACAATAAAGATAAATGGGTCTTCTACCCCCGCTGGTTTCGTCCCTTCATGTGGCCGGCGTTATGCGTCAACTACACGAAGGGGGGGTGAGTTCGGAGGAGTAGGGGTTTTATTGACAGTGGTGGCATTAGATAGAGGGAAGATGCCTAGCTATAAGGCTCTCGAGCCAGGTCAGCGGAAGGCGATGGCATTATTCATGTCCAATTTGTGTTCAGGCATTCTGATATATTACCAAATGTTGGCAAGTTCGTTTTTGTAACATGATTCATGATGAATGATTTCAGGTTAGACCAGGCAGCAGGAATAATATGTATAATGGTTGTTTGGGGCAATGTTTCTATGCAGGGGTACCTTTCTGGAGTTATTTCCTGGTTATTCATTGACAACTTACAGTTACAGGAAATATGTGCTTTTATTGCCCCAGGGGTATTGTATGCTAAATCAGGTAATCTTGTTATAGAATTAGGACATTGTATTTGGGTGAGTGATTATGTAGATTTCATCCTCAATTTCTGAAATAACTGTAGTTGATGATTTGTGGCAAGTTAGGGGGCAGTGATGGTTAATTTCTTTTACAGTTGCTCCCGTGAATAACTGTTTTTGCACATGCTGGTCCTCTAATGGAATCAGCTGAGAAGCTTGGTAAATAAAAGAATTTATCGTGAAATGGTTTACAGTGCTGAAGGCCTATACCGGATATATTTCTCAATTGTATAGATAGTTTGAAATTAGAAACTGCTAAAAATACTGTGTCATGAATGATTTTACAAGTTTGGTTGTGCCAAGCAAAGGGGGTGGTTACTAATTGATATAGTTCCCAAGAATGAAATTGTTGTGAGATTGGTATACGGACATGAATAAAGATATTATCATCAGTGAATGTGCAGTCACAAATAGGGAGTTGATAGTATTTTGATATGTCATTAATTGAAATGGCCAATGTTTGATTGGAATTTTGCAGCTCTTTCAGTAAATTACTGAGGTCATGAAGAAATATGGATGGGCATAAAATTACTATTGGGATTTGGTGTTGACGACATGAAGCAAAAATGCCTTGCCTTTTTATTGCTCTACCAACTTGTATAATATTTTTCAAACTTTGGAATTCATTGTTCAACAGTGAATTCAGAATTTGATTTTGTTCGTTTTCTTCTGAGTTAATATCATTTTTAAAATTTTCTATGAATCCTTCCAGGTCATGAAAATGTTTTTCTGTTGTTCTGAATGACATTGCCACAGACTTTTCATATTATTTGAATTTGATCGAGTTTTCACTCATAGCTCTTATTGACGTGGTCAATCATTTTTTTATATTGAACATTTTTTGTTTCAATGTGTTTTCGTTCAGAATCATACCTTCTAATTTATCTTCACTAGCAACGCCACAACACCAATTGAGTGCGTCCCCTAAGAAATCCAATGACCTTTTGTCTAAAATGGGACTCCAACTTTTTGAAAGGGATTGAAACTCAATATCAAATGCTTCTTGAAGTGAATTCATATATTCAATAGCCCTACATCTGTAAGAAGTCTGATAATTTTTTCCCTTGTAAGTACCAATCTCCTGGATTATATTATTTTTCATGCCAGTTCGATTGGTAAACTAGAGGGATTGTGGCCTCATAACTTACTTGGGGAAGGGGTCTCCAAAACGCGCCTGCTGTAACCTCCAAATTTTGAGAACTGTGGATTTTTTTCATGTCAAGGGTGAAGAACCTGGGGGTTGATTATTTATTCATTTACTATATGCTATATATATTCTGTATGTACATGGTTAAATGACACACCGTTTTCCATCAACTATAACATCAATTTTTAAAATGATAATGTGGAAAAAACCAAATACTTGCGGTACTTGCCAAAGTATGTAACCCCCATTTCTTGAATACTCAATTCAATATGTTTTTTTTGATTCATCTTCCAGCTGTCAATTACTGGAAAATGTTACCCACTTTCACTGATTAAAAAATAATTTCACTGAAGATGCCTCTGGCTAGAGGGGAAATGTTTAACTGAAGTCTTTCTTTTCGTATATTTTAATTTAACATGTGCCCAATAACCCAACTTACTATGGGACGAACCATCTAAGTATTAGCTTTTCACTCTTTCCTACTTTACGAACTGGGGTAAACATTTTGACTTTGTCTCCAATGTCAAATTCTAAATGACGATGTTTGTCGTTGTATCTTTCTTTGTCTAGTTTTGCCTTGTCCTTGCCTTTTACGAATATTTTCAATTGCATTACTCTGTACAGCAAGTGTTCAATGTTGATGAGTTCAAGATTGACATCAGGTTAGCTTCGGTTGGAAGAATGGGGTCTCTTGCGAATACTAATATGAAAAGTGAATATTTACTTATATTATATTCTTATATATCTTATAGTTATCTTATATTGCAGTGTTGTATGCAAAAGTGACATGAGGTGTGTATTCGTCCCAGTCGCTTTGATCAGTGTTGGTGTACATTGACAGCATGTTTGCCAAACAACTAGGGCGGTATGCTGTTGTGTATTCGTTGACAGTTCCCATTATAAGTAGTAATTCTTGTACAAGTTGTGACATAAAGGTTTTTCCTCGATCGCTCAATAAGTGTCTTGGTGAAACATGACTGGTAATTATTTTCTTTAGAATGGATTTTGCAACTGGACCTGCTTTTCCATTAGGCAAGGCTTCTGCCTCTGCCCATCTCGTTGCGTAATCTGTGGCTACCACTATCATCGTGGAGTGGCTGTAAAAGGCCTGCTGGTTTTTTATTCTTTTGTCCTTTTCGAGCTTGGCAATCTGTGCATCCTTTTACAAATTTTTCTACATCTTTGTTACAAGTCTATCCAGTAGTACCTTGACTTGACTCGTGAGTAATTTTTAAGCTATGCCCAAATGTCCAGAAGGTTCAGAGTGATTTGTAACTAGAATTTTGCTCACTAAATGTTTTGGGATTACTAGCAGGTTTCTTAGTCCGTCAGGATTGGGATTGGATTTGTATAATACACCATCAATAATTCTGAATTTTTTTGCACGTCTTCATGCCGATGGTGGCAGATGTATTCAAAGGGTCATTTTCGAAGTTAAGAGTCAAGTTATTGCTGCTCTGCAGTATCTGTTGGTAGTTGAAGAAAAGTGGGGATATCTTCGAACATATCATTGTTTTCATTATTAAGGACAGGATTCCTTGATAAGCAGTTTCCTTCCATTTTTATGAACTATGATATAGTCATGCTCCGATAATTAGACCATCTAGCAAGTTTTCATGTGGGGTCCTTTAGTGATTTTATGTAGCAAAGAGCGTGGTGATCAGTTACAATTTTCACTGGCCTACCATATATTAAATGTCGCAAATAAGATAATGACCAAATTGCTGCAAGTCCCTCTAATTCAGTTATGGTATAGTTTGCTTCATTTTTTGTAAGACTTCTACTTATATATGCTATTGGGTGTTGTTGTTTGTCTGCACCTTCTTGTAAAATTGACCCGATTCCTACTGCATTCGCATCAACCAGTGTGAAGGCGGCCATAGGTTTCAGCCACGAATTGGGGGAATTTACCGTTAACGGAAAGGAGTGCGCCAAGCCACCGTTGGTCGTTAAAATTCATTGCTTGCTATGAAAAGTTGTCTTTTATAACAATAATTTCATGGCCAGCCACACGAAACGATAGTTTTCAATAATACCTTTACAATCCTCGATTTTGTCGCAGAAAAGGACATCCCCTGTAACCCCCTTTCATCATTCTGATTAAAAAAATCATATCTTTTGAAAAATTTGTGCTGCTGTAAATGCATGTCCTAGTAAATGCATGGGCACTTCATAACAAGCACAGATGAGTACAAAGAAAAATATGCTTACATGCCGGGAAGAAATAATACAAGGATTATTGCAAGTAGAAGGCGTAGAAAACAATTTGGAGAGAGCAACCGACAAGAATGTGAAGCAAGAAAAGCAAAGAAAGCGAGGTGAAAGCAGTCAAAGAATAGGAAAAAATGAAGGCACTGCAAGGACTAGCAGAAAAAGGTGTGCTGAATGCTACAGAAGAATTGAGCAGGAAAAAGGTTCCAAAGAGGCAAGATCCAAAACCCCTAAGGTTCTAGCATTCTGCGAAGATTGCGAGAAAAAACCAACGATGTGTCTAAATTGCTTCAGAAATGTTCACGATTAGTTTGACATTGTGATGATGTATTTTGATTTCCAGTTTTTTTTTTAAGAGAACATTTCATGTTGAAACAGAATGTTAATTACGTTTCATTTCGAGTAAAAATTTACTTTGATATTCATATGTTGTTCACATACATTCATTACCATTCAATCGAAAAACCACTTTGCACCTAGAAACTCACACCTTTCATGTAGAAGTTCTTGCAATATCAAAGTTCCCGCGGTAACCGTAAAAATTTACTGTGTATATAAAATAGAAGAGACCGTGACTCACCCGTGAACATCCACGTTCATTGGTTAAGACCAAGATGACCACCGGTGGGTCACGACGTCGCGAACGTGGTAATATTGAAAAACTAATTTATTTTGAATTTGTGCTTGGATGTAATTATCATTGCCTCAGTTATGTTTCAGTCTATTTTTCAATTTCCAAATGGAAATTAAAAAAAAAACAAGTAATGTATCATCGGCGAAAACTTTCATGAAATCACTTTTCACAAAAAGAGTAAACAATAACGGTCCTAAGACACTACCCTGAGGTACACCAATGTCAATCTCATTAGAAAACACATCATCAACTTTAAGTTTCTGTTTCCTTCCAGTCAAATAATTTGCAAACCATTTCAAGACCCCCATACCCCTCCAGTTTAGTTAATACAATCCTTCGGTCAACGGTTTCAAATGCTCTCTTCAGATCTAAAAATTCTACAAATACGTACTTGTTATCATCTATCTCTTTTTTTAAATTGCAAATGCCAGTTGTACTGCTGTCTCACAAGAGTGTTTTTTTCTGAATCCAGATTGGTTAAGCAGTAAAATTTCATTGTTTTCAACAACCTCCAATAGTTGATTATAGACAACCAATTCTAATACCTTTTCTAATGGCGGTAATGTATTCACCGGTCTAAATTCATCAGCTTCATTGGTGTTTTTTATTTTTGGTACTGGAGTTATAGTGCTGATTTTAAGTTCCTTTGGAATTGTATCATTTGATAGAGAGCTATTCACAAAATTTAAGATTACATGCCCAATTGTGTGAAATATTCCCTTAACCATTTCAGCAGTCAAAATTTCTTTGACATTAGTTTTATTATCAGCGAGTTAATTATATTCCGCAAATCACCCATTGACAACTGTTTGAATTCAGAAAAACTAGAATACATATTATAATTAGCGAAGTTCTTATCACTTATCATTGTTAACATCAATTAATGTCCTGAGAGTTTTCCACATAAGCCTGAGATTATTTTTGTTTTTATCGATTCTCTATACTATTTAGTATTTTTCTTTCTTTTTCAACAAATTAGTGACTTCATTTCTGGCTATTTTGAAAGTATCCTATTCAACAATTTTATCATAATGTGAGTCTTTAAATATTTTGTATGCTTTATCACACTGTTTCATTTTATTTTTCACCTCCTGGTTGATCATGGATATTATTCCATGATTGATTGATTAACTTTAGAGGAGCGATGTCATCAACAAAAATTTGGCACTTCGAGCAAATTTCATTTTATATATATGTACTCAGTATCATTCTGTGATACCTGGGGTGTTATTCCAGACTATTACTGCACTTAGTATCAAAAATAATCAATTGATGTATATATACAAGGAGTACTTAAAATTCTCTAAATTTTTTAGCATCCTTGATAATTCCACCGTTGCCACCTTTAACGTATCGAATCACCTTATTACGGTG